ATCTATCTATCTATCTATCTATCTATCTATCTATCTATCTATCCATGGATTTGCAAAGTTACACAATGTAGACTATGATGTAAAGTAGGCTATAATTTGTAGGATGATGATGATGATGATGATGATGAAAATAGCAATAGCCATGCTTTTTGATGGTGATCATCTGTCCTGTAATATAGCAGCTTTCTTGGCGCCTACTTTCTGTATCCTCTTCTGCTACATTTGTGCTTATAGTTTCCAAAAACAGTGGGTAGGTGGGGGGGGGGGAAAGGACCCAAGGTTGCCAAGTTGTTAATGCAGTGTGTTCAGTTCAATTCCTTGTGAAATGAACTGAACTGAAGCAAGGCGTAACCAGTTTAGCCAAATACCACAATTCATAGAGTATTCGTGTTACAGGAGACAGACCCAGAGGGCTGGGGATTAATTTACATTCTTATGGATGGATCTGTAAGAAGGCCTTTCCAACTCCATGGGCTGGACCTCAGCCTTGTGTCAGAGGAGAGGAGGAGGTTGTGATTTGGTCCAGTGAGTTTTCCAGACAAGGAACATTTTGCTTTTCTGCTCCCCTTTTAAATACAGACATGGTTCAGTTGGCCTGGAACCCCAATTTGCTCTCAGTCACGAGTGCGGAGCATCTCTGAGCGAGCCTTATCACATTTGTTGCATTTAATCTTTCCATGTGTATGCGCGCGTGTGGCTATGTTTGTTTTCCCTTAGAGTGCTGGTTTACAGAGAATTGCTTTTTAAAAACTCGCAGAAAATCTGCTCGCTAGAGCTGATTTTTCTTGCTACACTGGTCTCTGCTCAATTTACTGCCAGATCTCCCTTATGGACGCTCTTGCAGGGTTTGGCAGTGCAAAAAAAAAGACAAGGCACACACACACACATACTGTCATGGGAGGAAGATGGTTTTCATCCCATCTCTTTGTATCTTTTCCTCTAGAAATACACAACAATTAATTTTTTCATTGCTGCTGACCAGGAATAGGATGCAGATGTAGGACTGATGTGTCGGCCAGAGCAAAAGGTCCCATGGGAAAGGCTGTGATGGAGATTTGAAGTTCATCAGGAGAAAACATGCCTTGCGTGCAGAGGAAAGTTGCAATGTAGACATTTCAAGCAGAACTAAAGGGGTGCAGTCCTTTGAGAACCAGGCTTGGGAAGTGTAGAGAGCGTTTAGGCTTAAGAGCCTGCTCGGATTTGCTAAGTGTGAACACAAACGATGTTTTGTGATGGTATATGATGAAGCTTTAATGTCATTACGGATTGCATTTCCCTACTTGTGATTCTGCTCTTCCCTCTTCACCGTGCTTCAAGTCAGGTTAATACTTTGTGCTTCTGCTGGAGAGCCTTAGACTGTGAAAGATTAGGATGTAATGAATGTATAAGCAAAATTGTTATCTTAAGAAGAAATGCTACTGAATCTTTGTTGCGTTTCTTGTAGTGTCCGCCAGATGACACTGTGTTACCCTTGCACACTCAGGAAACAAAACATAGCACCACATTTGATTGGGCTGTATGTTACTATAAACTACTATTCTCTCTCTGATATTATCTATTTAAATTGAGCCTCTATGTTCAGAGGCAGTACACCTCTATGAACCACAGCATTTTAAATACAGTCATTAAGAGAAGGATCATCTTTTTAATGTCCTTCTCATAATCTCCCAAAGTCATCTGGCTACTGATTTTAGAACTGGAAAGTGGACTACATAGATATTTGTTCTGAGTATTGTAATATGACTCTGGAGATTAGGATTCGATTCCCTGCTCAACCGTGGAAATGCACTGGGTGGCCTTTGGTAAGTCACACACTCTCAGCCCCAGAAAACTCCTTGTTAGAGTCGCCTAAGCATTACCATAAGTCAGAAGTGACTTGAATGCACACAACAACAAAGCAGTATTTATATTTATCAGTTTATTAAGCACCGAAGGCTGTTGTAAGTCAATCTCTCTTCTTTTCCTTCTCTCTTCTGACCACATTGGCTGGGAACACAGGAGATGGCCTTCTTGGTGGTTGCTCCCAGGCTCTGGAACTCCCTTCTAAGAAAGGTCAACCTGACACACTCCTTGTCTTTCTTCAAGCAAATTAATACTTTCCCCACTATTTCATCAGGACTTTGAAGACGGACTGCTTACTACTACTACTACTACTACTACTACTACTACTAATTTTCAGATGCTACAGCTAGTGCAAAATTCAGAAGCCAAGCTGTTTCAGGGTGTGCATTTTTTAAGGGACCACACAACAGTGATCTTACAAGAACTGCATTGGCTTCCAATTGATTTCAGGACTCAGTTCAATGGCTGGTTTTGATCTACAAAGCCCAACATATCTTGAGACCAGGGCTGCATCTACACTGCAAAACAGATGCAATTGGACACCACTTTAACTGCCATGGCTCGATGCCTTGGCATTCTGGGATTTGTATTTTGGTAAGACATTAAGCCTTCTCTGTCAGAGAGCTCTGGGGCCACAACAAACAACAAATCCCAGGATTCGATAGCATGGATTCCACAGGATGCAACTTTTTCTGCTTAGACGATAACATTTCTGTGTGGAAATAATTATGTTCTGTGCAGAAAATGTTGGATTTTTTTTCTGTGTGCAAAAGAACTTTATGTGAATGTTGTACACAATAAGTCCTGAATTGCAAATAGGATTCAGAAATAGTATGGTTTTCAAAGACTTTCTTGTAGCAGGAAGAAAACTGCTAAAATTACCTGTTGCTTCCTTCAGGTAGAAATGTAATGAAAATTATAACCCTAATTGTTGTTGCTGGGTGCCTTCAAGTCATTTCTGATTTATGATGACCCTATCATGGGGTTTTCTTTGCAGATTTCTTCAGAAGGTAGTTTGCCTTTGCCTTCCTTTGAGTCTGTGAGAGTGTGACTTGCACAAGATCACCTAGTAGGTTTACATGGCCGAGCTGGGATTTGAACCCTGATCTCTGGAGTTGTAGTTTAACGCTCAAACCACAATGCCATGCTGGCTCTAGTACATACAGGCATACACACATAACATGAAGCCCAGTATTTCTGAAAAGACATGCAAGCACTGCTTTGCTCTCTTCTTACCAGTCTAGATGCCCTGGTTTCTTTGCAATCTCATGGAGTTTACACTAGGGTAGCATTATACTATGCTAGCTCTCAACGGCATCTCCGCTATGAATGGTGTTATTTTTCTTTTTAACAATCAATCCCACTCTCTACTGAATTAACATTTAAATGCTACTGCAATCAGTTATTTATGCATGGACAATAGGCCTTCCGCAGCTGCACATTTGGGCAGCCAAGTATTTTAAAACTAGAGACATCATATTTCATACCTCTTTTTGTTTGTAATATTGTGCTAGGAGTACAATGGATGCCTTCTAATCTTGAATGCACAGCAAACATTACTGCTGTGGTCCTGTTTATGTTTTTGTATTCCTTCCATGATGTTTCAGAATTATGGCCGCCATTTTCTTTGATGCTGGAGGAATGTAAAGCTCTCCCAGCATCTATATCTATGTCTATATCTATATCTGTATCTATATCTATATCGATCTATGCGGGAGGCCTGGTCTTGCAGAGATCGAGTTGGTGGTGGATTCTGGGAAGGTAATGCAACTGAAAATTACAAAAGTTGCAAAAATGAAATTATGCCTGTGGTTTTATTGCATGTCATTGTTCATTGTACATGGTGCACTGTGCATTCTGCATTGTTTCACACTCTGCATTGATTTCATGGTTGTGCATGCTTGTGCATGGCAACATTGCATATCAAAGTGGAATGTATATTTTTGGTGCAAATTTGCAATGCTATAATAAAGTGGGGTAGAATAACCAAGGCATAACTCTGTGTCCATTAGCTTCTTCAATGCAGGATTACGGCCAATGCCTTTTCTAGATCAGGAGGAAGAGAACTTCACATACTGTCCACATTCAGTCCAAAGTGGTGGAAGCGAGGTTACACCAGACAATGGCATTGCACATACAGATGTTGCCCATTTGCTTGTGCATTCGGATGTGCATTCAGTTGTGCCATGTTGCCATTCAACACAAAGGTTGCTGAGCACAGGTCTGCATGCTGAGATTTGACCAATATGAATCCAATGTAGGATCTTATTTATTTATTTCAAAGATTTATATCCTGCCTTTCTTCCACTTGCCCCCCTTTCTTCCCCATTAGCCATGTGTAGACATCCTTCTGACCCCCAGCGGAACCCATGTCTCCAAGCCCCTCTCTTCTGATGCCAAGCCACAGGCCTCCTGTGCCATTCTAGCTCCAGCCACAATCAATTCTCTGCTTTCAAATATTTATGAAACATTGATGGATTTTCTAAGTTTGAAGTTGTAGCTTTCATGGAATTAGGTTTTTATTGACTGTGCCATCTTCGGGGTTACCTCCCTTCCCAGCGAAGCATCTGCATCAGAAGCATGACAGCTCTTTGGCCAGTTTTTGGGTAAAAAACTGCTTGGGATTTGCTTTGGGAGAAGTGGGAATATATTAGTAAAGCTCAGAGTGATGGCACTTTCAGAAGGGAAGGAACAGAAGTCGAGGAGGAGCCAGCCTTCGCCAGATGCCTGGAATCCATATGGCAAAGGCTGCCCTTGGTTTTGCTTTGAAATCATCTATATTAGAGCTTCGTAAATGAGACAGAGATGATTTACGGGAGATAGCGAAAGAAAGCTAGCATGGTCTGGTAGTTTCAGTCACTAGATGTTTGCTACATGGCTTGGAGGGAGAGAACATAGGAGATCATGGGAGAAAGCATAGGATGAAGTTGACTCTTGCATGGGGAGATATTTTACAGCTCGTTTAAATTCTTTTTATAGACAATAAAAATATACAACATAAAAATTACAAAACACTTATTTGTTTCTTTACACTCCAGTTGTTATAAGTTCATTACAATGACTATTTGCCACTGTTATCTATTATATATCTTCCATTAGTACTTCCCTTTGTTTATCTGATTTTATAAGAGATTATTTCATTCATTAACATCCACTTCTGATTAAATTAGTTTGATTTCACTATTGTCTCTCTGCATTAATCATAAGTTTGTAGATGCCATTATTTTAGATCTGTTTTATTTTACATTTTTTTTGCTTCCTACTCTTTTTTCCACATTTTTTTTTACATTATTCTATTAGCAGTGACCAGTCTTCCTCTATCTTCTTTTCTTCTTTTTTGGCTTGACTAGGCTGTTAACAATTAATTTCAGTAACCAATCTTTTATGGTCAGGACTTCTTTCACTTTCCATTTTTGTGCCAACTGTAGTCTTCCTGCAGAAACCATGTATAATAAGATTTTCCAATATCTTTTCTCATCATGTTTTGCAATCTTATTAGTCATGTTAAGTAAGATATGGATGTATGAACCAGGGTATGAATAACTACTTTGCTTTGCTCTGCTCTGCTTATAGATAGAGATTAATTCTTTGCTGATTTTGTTTTTGCAAAAAGCAAGGAAAGTCTGTGAGAAAGTCTTTGGAAAACCTACTCAGTTTTCAAAGACTCTTCACAGTTTGTTACTTATTTTGTGCAAACTTTGCATGTGCTTTTTGCACAGAAAACAACATTTTATTCTGTGCAGAAAACATCATTTTCTGCTATTTTCTGTGCAGATAAATAATTTTATGTGCAGAAAAAGCTGTTTCTTGTGAAGAAAATGCCTTTTCCTGCAGTTTTCTCAAAAAAGTGTGAATTTTGTCCTGAGCAGCGAAGATTCTTGTGATTCCATGATTTTCCTGACCGAGGTTTCCTGGCACTTGACAATCTTTAAAAAACCCACACAAAACAATTTCTTAAATATTATCAAATATTGTGTCCACCCCTATTTTTGGCTTGAGCTTTTCACCCTGAACCATCACCTCTAGTGACTTTGGAGTGAAGAGGTGATCGTATCTGTTTTCCTATTTCTTTGCAGGTTGCAATAAGCAAAAATACAAAGTGTACCATGCAGGGCATCACCTCATTAATATCCAGGATATACTTTGATATCCTTAGATATTGCAAAATGAAAATGCTGTTGCAAAACTGTGAGGGGAGGGGGAAGAGGAATAATATTAGAATGTTCTAGCTTCAAAAGGCTGGCTGTTCAAATGCTCTTTTCTATCCCTGAGAGGCATTGATGAGTCACCTGAACTGTGCCCTTTTCACATCCTATGGAACAGAAACAAGTTCTGCAACCTCTCCTTTTGGAATTAAAGGTGGCAAAGGGAAGTGTTTGAGCAGAAAGAACAACTGGGCGTTTGATGTTGCACCATGGCAGGTGTCCAGGTTAGAGCAGGACATGACAGCAGGATGGCAAGGGAGTTGCCAGCGCCTAAGAAAAAGGTCACAGAGACAGTTGGAGCAGAAGATGTAACATTTAATCAGCACCCAAGCCAATATGTGGTCCATGTTTTTCCCTGGCAACTGGGCTCTTTCTCCAAGGAGGCTTCAGGATATCTCCTCATCAGGAGTGGCTGGTGGCTCCCATATTGAAGAACAGCAAACCCACCTTGGGCTTTGTTCAAGACTTCAAATGAACTATCCAAGGTGCTGAGCTCAACCCCTCCCCCTAAGTTTCAGGACCCTGGATAGGTCCTTTCAAATCAGGAATAAAATGGAAGGTGAATTCACCACACTCCCAACACAAAAGCCATCTAGCAACCTCCGTTCCTCACCTTAGTTTGGTTTTTGGACTTCCAAATTGCTCCCCTTGTGTTTATGAGCTGGAACTCATGCATTAAGGATCTTCAACAGGTGTTCCATCAGGGTTGGAATTTGGGGAAGAAATCCAGGTATCCACTGAATGAGATGAGCAGAAAGTCCTTCCCCCATACACCGAAACTGACTTATTACAGTTTGAAATAAACAAATAAATATCTTCTAACATTTAAAAATCACTTGCACCACCATAAATCAGTCAAATCCAAGGTGCTGCCACACTGCAAAATTAATGCAGTTTGATAATTCTTTAACTATTATGGCTCCATCCTATGGAATCCTGGGATTTGTTGTTTGTTGTGTCACCAGAACTCTCTGTCAGAGAAGGCTAAATGTCTCACCAAACTATAAATCCCAGAATGCCAAGGCATCGAGCCATGGCAGTTAAAGTGGTGTCCAATTACATCCATTCTGCAGCGTAGATGCAGCCCTGGTCTTAGCTTATGGTAACCCTAAGGCAATCACAGAATTTTCTTGGCAAGATTTGGCCAAAAGGGGTTTACCACTGCCTTCCTCCTGATGTACACTACATACTGTACATGCAGATGCACCTTATGCATTGTGCATTGCACATTGCCCTCACTTCTATTGGTTGCATGTTCAATTGTTCAGCATCACAATTCATTAGTGTGGTGGCATTGCACAATCACTGTGAAACTGTATGAATGCAGAGTTGTTCTTTGTTTCCTTCCTGTAGAGTCTTGGACCTTTGCCCTGGAAAATATGTGGAGAATTACATCAATTTGAGAGATATAGATGGCCTAGGGATTTGAGTGTTGGACTAAGACTCCAGGAGACCCAGGTTCAGATTTCCACACAGCCACTGAAACCCAACAAAGAAGCCTTGGTCAGTCTTTGAGCTGAAGAGGAAGGGAATGGCAAACCCCCATCTGAATAAATCTTGCCAAGAAAACCTAATATTGGGTTAACATAAGCTGGAGTTGGCTTGAAGGTGCTTGACAACAATATCAAAACAGCATCATGCCCTCCCTCTGTCTGCCACAGAAAATAGTGACAACCCTTGCTTGCCTCTCATCTCCAATGATCTGGGAATGAGCAAAGTGCAATCTTCAATTATCCCAGGTCTTAGTATGTGTAATAGTCTCCATCATTGATTTCCAAAATACCTGTCCTCATAAACCCTGCCAATATTTTCCATGCTCTTCTCTCATGGCATTGAATCCCACTGCCTGAGCCTCAGCTGAATACAAATAGAGATCTCTCTTCATGCTTCCCCTTGCAACCCACCCAGAGCAACGCTCTCCGCCTCCCTCTCTAAAATGTGCTGGCC